CACACACACACTCACACTCACACACACTCACACACTCACACACACACACACACACTTATCTTGAGGCATTTCACTTCAACACATAGGCTACATACATGCATATACACACACACACAGGTCAGAATGAAAGTTAGTGAGAGGAACCTGAGACAGGAAGCACAGTGTTGAAATATTCCGCGGTCAAAACTACATTTTACTTTATATTAGACACACTAGCGGTAGTTCACTAAAAGTCGAAAGTCTCTCACACTCACGCTAAATATTTAATATCGAGCACACAATCATCGGAGATGAAACCCCAACCCGATCTCATGAAAATGCGTATAAATAGTTCGCCAAATAAAAACCAAACTCGTGGTACTGATACGCAAAAATGGACTTTGGCGTGCATAAGATACGCGATGGGTAGGTTTAGGGTTGTGGGGTAGATGCGTAGCATATGCACGCCAAAGTCCATTTTTGCGTATCAGTACCACGAGTTTGGTTTTTATTTGGCGAACTATTTATACGCATTTTCATGAGACCGAGCTCGAAGACCTGTCAAAGCGAGAGCGCGCGGCGCGCCCCCGCTTCCGCCCATGCCGCGCGCGTGCGCGCGCTCAAACTCACACACACACACACACACTTATCTTGAGGCATTTCACTTCAACACATAGGCTACATACATGCATATATACACACACACACACACACACACAGGTCAGAATGAAAGTTAGTGAGAGGAACCTGAGACAGGAAGCACAGTGTTGAAATATTCCGCGGTCAAAACTACATTTTACTTTATATTAGACACACTAGCGGTAGTTCACTAAAAGTCGAAAGTCTCTCACACTCACGCTAAATATTTAATATCGAGCACACAATCATCGGAGATGAAACCCCAACCCGATCTCATGGAAGTGCGTATAAATAGTTCAAAACCAAACTCGTGGTACTGATACGCAAAAATGGACTTTGGCGTGCATAAGATACGCGATGGGTAGGTTTAGGGTTGTGGGGTAGATGCGTAGCATATGCACGCCAAAGTCCATTTTTGCGTATCAGTACCACGAGTTTGGTTTTTATTTGGCGAACTATTTATACGCATTTTCATGAGACCGAGCTCGAAGACCTGTCAAAGCGAGAGCGCGCGGCGCGCCCCCGCTTCCGCCCATGCCGCGCGCGTGCGCGCGCTCCCGTCGAGATGCTCGCTTCCGCCTTTGAACGCGCGCGTGACCAAATAAGGAGCGCTAGACTGAACTCCGCTGTGAGGAAATTCACCGCGAAGGAATAAACCGTCCATTATTTCCTCTAAACCGCAGCGGCTTGCGCTCGTAAAACTTTTGGAAATGTTGCCTCTTCACGCGGCGCACCGCGCTCCGTTATAACCGGCGAGCGCATCCAGACTCGCGGCGAGGTTTGAATGAGGAAGAAGGAACAAATAAGTAAAAATAGTTTTTTTAACCCAAATAAATGAGTCGTATTTTTAGAAAAACAAAGCGGAGCAAAGTTTACTCCACTGTAAATGTCGCACCGTGACTTGGTTCAGCCAGCCGCCCGGTGCTGAAGCCCAAACGGACTCCTGACCCGCTGTGCACCCGAGGATGACCGCATCATCCACCCACTCGCTCTTGGTCAGGCTGCTGATGTAGCTGTCCCAGCTCATGACTGCTGCTTTAGATCTGAGGAGCAATAAAACACTTCCTCATCACCATCATCATCATCATACCGCGTCAGGTAAAGCCTAGGCGGACAGCGAGCGATAAGAGACAGAAAAAGTTACCTGAGTGCGTCTCTGCTCCGATGCAAAGTGAGTTTGAGGAAGTCCGCGTGCGTTTATATGCAGCGGAGCGCGAGCCCTGCCCCACGGCCCACTTCCGCACCGCGCGAGGCTCCAGATGCGCTTGTGCAGTTTAGAGTCTTTTCTGTGCTTTGAGGGCAAAAGCTGAGCGGCTTGCGCTCGTAAAACTTTTGGAAATGTTGCCTCTTCACGCGGCTTCGCACCGCGCTCCGTTATAACCGGCGAGCGCATCCAGACTCGCGGCGAGGTTTGAATGAGGAAGAAGGAACAAATAAGTAAAAATAGTTTTTTTAACCCAAATAAATGAGTCGTATTTTTAGAAAAACAAAGCGGAGCAAAGTTGACTCCACTGTAAATGTCGCACCGTGACTTGGTTCAGCCAGCCGCCCGGTGCTGAAGCCCAAACGGACTCCTGACCCGCTGTGCACCCGAGGATGACCGCATCATCCACCCACTCGCTCTTGGTCAGGCTGCTGATGTAGCTGTCCCAGCTCATGACTGCTGCTTTAGATCTGAGGAGCAATAAAACACTTCCTCATCATCATCATCATCATCATACCGCGTCAGGTAAAGCCTAGGCGGACAGCGAGCGATAAGAGACAGAAAAAGTTACCTGAGTGCGTCTCTGCTCCGATGCAAAGTGAGTTTGAGGAAGTCCGCGTGCGTTTATATGCAGCGGAGCGCGAGCCCTGCCCCACGGCCCACTTCCGCACCGCGCGAGGCTCCAGATGCGCTTGTGCAGTTTAGAGTCATTTCTGTGCTTTGAGGGCAAAAGCTGGCTGAAGGCAGCCGAGGACTGACGTTGGTGTCCAAATTGCAAATCGGCCACAAAAAATATGTTGTAAGAACGTTACGTGTTCCAGGAACGTTATTTATGGATGATAGAGACGCGAATGTTAGAGGAACATTCCATTGTATCATTTAGCAAACATTACTGAAATGTAATCTTTTGAACGTTCTGAAACAAAGTAACACGTCTATTCTAAAAAAAATAAAAAACCCAAAAGGAGATGTTTGAAGTGTTTCATAGAAATAAAATGACAAATGAAAAAACACCTTAGCAGTCATCATCTGAAGTCATATGATGGATTCGAATGAGGAACAGACTAAAATGGCAGCTCTCAAATCTCATTCACACTTCCACATATTCGAACCGGCTTCGCACTTGATTACAACAAACCTGGTGTGATGCTATCGTGCGGAGCTCATACGGACTACTTTAATGCAGACATGGAATACGCTAAGAGCAGTTTTTGCATGGAATAAAGCTGTCTTGACTTCCCAGTCAGTCCCAGATCATTTACTTTGAGTTCAGTCTGAGTTAAAGTTTAAAGTCTGAGCTGATCTGGAGTTTGTCGCGAGTCAGGCTGGAGTTTGGCCTTTCGCAGAGCCTTTCGGAGGAGACCGAATACAGCAGAACGTGACCACAGCATCCTGTTTGTGAATCTGCAAGCTGCATGATATGACAGGAAGAGTTACAGAGACAACCGACCTGAATGAGATCAACTGAACTTCCTCTCACTACTGTAGGCCTGTCTGACTGTGAGAAGATGCCGTGGAGAACATCTCACTGTCCAATCAGAGCAGACCCGGCCAGAAATGACCGACCAATCAGATTGTGCCATGTGAGAGAACGAGGCATTTAAATATGTCTCTCTAAGAGTAAAGGTTCTTTATTGGAATCCATGGTTCCACGAAGAACCAAAGATGTCTTCACTAAAAACCTTCATCATGGTTATTAAAATGTTCTTGACTAAGAAAAAAAAAGTTATTTTAAAGGGGTCATATGATGCTGCTATAAAGAACATTATTTTGTGTATTTGGTGTAATGAAATGTGTTTATGTGGTTTAAGGTTAAAAAAACACATTATTTTCCACATACTGTACATTATTGTTTCTCCTCTATGCCCCGCCTTTCTGAAAC